GGGTGAGTTAGCACCGCATCCCGGGTGAGTTAGCACCGCACCCCGGTGAGTTAGCACCGCATCCCGGGTGAGTTAGCACCGCACCCCGGGTGAGTTAGCACCGCACCCCGGTGAGCTAGCACCGCACCCCGGGTGAGTTAGCACCGCATCCCGGGTGAGTTAGCACCGCACCCCGGTGAGCTAGCACCGCACCCCGGGTGAGTTAGCTCAATCCCAGGTGGGCACTGGTAGAGTTCCATGCTGCATAGCCATGTTGCCCTCCTGCACCTACACAATGGCCGTCCTTGCCAGCAGTGGATGACCACAGAGTGGCCAGGGGCCTGAGCCCAGCCCTGCCTCTGGGCCCCCAGTACTCGCTGGGCTGTGGGGGTCTGAGCAGGACTTTGCTGCCCACCTTCCAGGTACTTCCAACTGGTCAGAGGAGTACTTCAGCAGCACTGCAGGCGTGGGCTTGGTGGTCAGCCAGAGGGCCCCCAGCTCCCGGCCGAGTGAACTCCCTGTGCAGGAAGAGCTGCGGAGACTCTTTGAGCGAGACTGGAGTTCTGCCTATGCGGTGCCCCTGGACGGACAGGCCCCCGGCCAGGACTGTGTTTGGTAGGTGGAGCCTCTGGTCCAGGGCCATGGCTCTCATTGGACACTGGCCATCAGTGTCCACCAGTTCGAGCTCAGATGCCGCAGAAGCTCAGGAGTGTTACTTAGAGTCTGGGTTGCGCTCTGAGACGCCCAGGGACGGGGCTCGTCAGGGACGGAGCCGGGATGGAGGATGTCCACGGTGCCAGAAGAAGGCCACTGAGTGACGCGAGCCGGTGCTCGGCTGTCCCCCCGCCCCCGTGACGTATTGCTGGCACAGCTGCCCACCTGCCACCCCCCACTACAGATGTAGATGGCTCAAGACCTGGCCAAGCCAAACCCTGCCATTCCTGTGCATTTTCTCTCTCCCTTCATGCCACCGATCCTGGTTCCCGAATGTCCTTTATTAAACTACATCTCCCAGGCTGCTCCCCTCTGCTCAGCAAGGGCCCTGTGGTCCTCCTTCAAAGCTCCACCCTCAGGGCGAACACAAACTGCCTGCCGGGGCCACACCCCTCCCGCCCTGGGGCCCTCGGGCGCCCCTCCCCACACCCACAACTTCAGTCCAGGCTCCAGAGCAAAGCTTCTCCTCTGGGCTCCCCGCTGGCAACAGTGGTCATCTTGCTGAAGCCATGGTCAGTGTCCACTGTGGGAGCTCCCTCCCAGTGCTGGCCCCATGGACGCCCAGGACGAGGCCTCGCGGGCTGGGCGGGACGAGGGCAGGGCTGGGCGGGACGAGGCCTCGCGGGCAGGGCTGGGCGGGACGAGGCCTCGCGGGCAGGGCTGGGCAGGATGAGGCCTTGTGGACAGGGCTGGGCCAGATGAGGCTCAGGATGGCCTGCTCCACCCACAACTGGCTCTGGCCACTGGGGAGCAGGAGTGCTGGGCCAAGGCCTGCAGTGTGTGCACGTGTGCACATGCGTGCGTGTAGTGTGTGCATGTGTGCGCATGTGTGCATGTAGTGTGTGCACATGTGTGTGCATGTGCCTTGTGTGTGTGCATATGTGTGCATGTGCATGTACCTAGTGGCCCAGGGCTGTGGGGGGGTGCTGTGCTGCGCTGTGCTGCGCTGTGCTGTGTGCTGCGCTGCGTTGCGCTGTGCTGTGCTGCGCTGTGGGGGGGCGCTGTGCTGTGCTGTGCTGCGCTGTGCTGTGCTGCGCTGTGCTGCGCTGTGGGGGGCGCTGTGCTGCGCTGTGCTGTGCTGTGGGGGGTGCTGTGCTGCGCTGTGGGGGGTGCTGTGCTGCGCTGCGCTGTGCTGTGCTGCGCTGTGCTGCGCTGTGCTGCGCTGTGGCTGGGTGGGTGCCGAGGAGGCAGTGTGAGCAGGGAGATGGCCACGCCAGTCCCACCCGCGCTCACCTGCCTTGGGTGTGGGTGAAATGAGACCCAGCCCTGTGCTGCGGGCACTCCACCCCGCCTCTCACCCACGGGGTCCACCAAGGCCACCGGCACCAGCCCTCGGGGGCAACCCGTGTTGGAGGGCACGTGCTGAGAGGGTGCCGCGGCCCGATTCCCTCCCCTCCCCTCCCCTCCCCTCCCCACTGCGGCCCAGACAGCTGTGCCCAGGAGAGCCAGCCCGGCGTACACCAGGGACGGTGCCGTGGGGGGGGCAGGCGTACACCAGGGACGGTGCCGTGGGGGG